CAACATAACGCCATTTGCAGCAACATGGATGCTCCTGGAGAATGTCATTCTAAGTGAAGTAAGCCAGAAAGAGAAAGAAAAATACCATATGAGGTCGCTCATATGTGGAATCTAAAACAAGCAAACAAACAAAACATAAATACAAAACAGAAACAGACTCATAGACACAGAATACAAACTTGTGGTTGCCAAGGGGGCTGGGAGTGGGAAGGGATAGACTGGGATTTCAAAATGCAGAACAGATAAACAAGATTATACTGTATAGCACAGGGAAATATATACAAGATCTTATGGTAACTCACAGACAAAAAATTGTGACAATGAATATATATATATGTTCATGTATAACTGAAAAATTGTGCTCTACACTGGAATTTGACACAACATTGTAAAATGATTATAAATCAATAAAAATGTTTAAAAAATTAAAAAAATAAAACATAAAATGTAACCTCTCAATTGCACTAGGTACATTTCAAGGACTTTAGAGCTATATTTGGCTGTGGGTACCATGTTGGACAGTACAGAATAGAGTATTTCTATCACTACAGAAAGTTCTATTGGACATCTCTGGCTTACCATACCCAATATTCCATCTGCCCAGCATTTATCAGCCATCACTTGGCCTAAGCCCACCTACTCCATCACCAGCAGCAACCCCGCCCTTCCTGAAGGAGTCAGCAACTTTGATCACTACATCTTTTTCACGTCTTATGCTCACCAGTATGAGGCCCTTCTGGAGGTCATGTAAAGTGGAATGAAATCATAAGAAGACCTGGATTCTAATCCCATGTCTGATACTGAAGTAGGTGACAACTTGAGCCAATCATGTTTGTTATTAAATCGAAGATTCTCACCTGTAAAGTGGGAATACCACTCACGATACACAGTCGTTGTTGAGACTGCAGGAGAGAACACTGGTGCTTTGAAAAATGTACAAAGGTCAAGATTAACAAAGCTCTTGAAAAATTAATTTTTTTTCTCAACAGGAACTTGTCAAGATCCAATTTTATAGTTAACCCAGTCAAGAGCATGAGCTCTGACACTGGATAAAACGATTATTTTTTAAAATTTGTTTTAAATCCCATTTGAGTCACTTACTAACTGTCCAATCTTGGACAAATTTTTAAGCCCTTTTAACGCCATATTCGTCATAAAACTGAAGGCAAGAAACCACCTGATAGTGATGTTGTGCTGATGAAGTGAGGTAACTTGATTTTAGAATTGTCACTGGCACACAGAATGGGCTGAAAACCATCAGCTAACCCTTCTGGCCCCTGGGTGCCCCACAGGCCACTGCATGGCTTTCAATCAGTATATAGGCAAGGTGGTTCCAGGAGTGTATCTGGACTTCTGATGGTGGGTAAAGAAAATTACAGAGAGCTAATGATACTAGTATCTAAGTTTTTAAAAGTACTTTTTTTTTTAAGCTCGTTGCTCCTTATGTGCTATATTGATAAAACAGTCTCTACTTTTTAAAGTGAATGAAGAATGTTTTTTTTAAAGAGTAAGTTTTGTGGAAGTGCCAGGGTTCTACACCGTGCGAAATCTAAGTCCACTGTACGAGGAGAGATACAGAAAGCACTCTGTAAGCAGAGTGGCAGGTCGCGCGCTCCGGGGCCGCACGGGAAGTGGCTGGGACTTGAGCGGCGGCATCAGCGAGGCCTAGGTTTATGCCGCTTGGATTAAGGTATGTGACGTCTGTAAACCCTGGTGGTGTCCTCTTTCGTCAAACAGGAATAATCATAGTGTTCCCGCCTCAGAGGGTTGTTTGAATGATTATATGTTAAACAGTTACCATAGAAAGAACTTAGAGGAGGGCCCCTCATATGTAAGTGCAATAAATGTTATTAATCAGGATGATGATGGTCATCACGTATATTACCCAGAGCCGTAACTGGTACATAACAGGTGCTCAAGTAAATATTGGATGTCACCTACTATTTTCTACCATAATTCTAAAATGATTTATTTCGTTTTAATTTTGACTAAACTATATTGAGAGTTACAATAAAGACAGACAGATGATTTCAGTAAATTAAGTTTATCTAAGGTAACTAAGACTACCAGGAAAAAGTTAAATGGTTGTAAATCTGGGGAATATTAATCTTATTTTACGAGTAATATTCTTTTAAAATTTAAAACTGTGCTTTGTTTTTTTTACCATGTAATTCTTAATATCTATGTTCTTAGAGTAATTAAGAGATTCCTCAAAATCATTTTACAGGATGAAAAACTCATGATATTTACCCAGCTCACACCCCATTGCCTCTATTTAATTAATTTAGATTTTATTGTTTTTGATATAAGAAAAATGATTACCTTTTCCAGTGTATTTCTAACCAAGTTCTAGAAGGAATAAGTAATTTCAACTTGTCTGCTCCTAGAAATATATGATTAGAAACCCAGTGAAGCTATGAAGATAATTACGTTAATCACATTTATGGCAACTGCATTTGCTAATAGTATTATTTTCACACTTCTTTTCAGACCTATTGCTTCATGTTTAAATTCATCACAGCAAAGGGCTGAGCCTTATTTCCATATTTATTGCCATCCAGATCTTGATACTATATGTTTATTTAAAAAACAGCAATGGGTGTAATCTTGAATGTGCAAAGCAAATGAAATATGATTGCAAAAGATCTAATGAGTTTTTTCCCCTTTCAGGGGGCAAGGAAATAGCTGGCAGAGTGGAAGGATGTATTTGCATTTGAGTCTTCTTAATATACATCCTGGAAAAATCAATACAACAGGTACCTGACCTTCCTCTTGTTCTTCTGAATAAGCAAGAACACACTGAAATCAAAAGGTATAAAATCATAAGGAATGAAACGAACTGATTTACATTAGGGAGCAAATTTCTAACTCATACTTATCTGATAGCCAAAGAAGAATAAGAACTTGCCTATTTCTTCCCCTTACTCTTTGGTAGAGCTCAATAAATCTGCCAGTTCCCTGCATTTTTATTTTTGTTTTATTCATGTTTTCTCTTTACTATGCAAAAAGATACAGGGGAAGGAACATTGACTTGGGAGTCCAAATTCCCCAGTGTAAGTCTACAGTCTATTGTTAATTAACTGTGTCACCTTGTTTGACTTACTCAACTTTTTTGAGTCTCCATTTCTGTATCCTAAGAAGTGGGTGAACTCTGAATTTTTAATACAATATAAGATTTGGTAGTATCACATGGATAGTAAGGAGCATAGATGCCCTGACATGTGACCGGGATGTGTGATGGAACATGCAGTCAGCAATGAATGGCCCTCTGGGATAACGAGGAAGCGAGCTACTCTTCAGCAGACAGGAGGATGAAATTGTGCTTCCTCTAGCTCCAGGTGGTATGAACGGGACAGAATTTTCTCTTCAGAATTCTCTACTTTCTGAGTGGAAGCAAAATTATCAAAGGGAGGCTCTGTACATGTGCGTCTGTGTATGAGTGTGTATGTGTGATCATCTGATCATCTGAAAGTCTCCGAGTGCCAGGCACTGGGGATACAGGGATGGCCAAAGTGCTGTCCACCTTCATCCTCTGAGCTTCTCAAAGTCTAGGGGGGACAGTTGAGTTAATGGGCAGTTGCGATTTCGTGTACTAAGTTCTGTAGCAGAATAAGCAGCGCAGGTGAAGGGCACCAAACGGCCTTGGAGGGTGATTAAGGAAGATTTCTGTTAGGAGATAGTGATGCAAAGGAGAAGGGGAAGGAGCACTGGAGCAGAGGGACCACCTTTGCAAATGCCTGAACATGACAAGCAGCAAGGAGGTGGGGACAGATCATTAAGGATCTGAAAAGGCGTATTGATGGCACTGGATTTTACCCTGCGATCATGGGGACTCCAAGTTACGTATAACGTGGGTCTTTTCCACTCTGAGTCCAGAAAGGACATAAACTAGTTGTAATAGCCCCCTGGAGCCAAATGCCTCGGCAAAATGGGTCTGGTTCCTTTCAGCCTCATTTTATTCTCCGTTTCAAGATCTTATTTTTTTGCGGTGCATCTCCCATCTCCTGCCTCCTGGGCAGTGTCCACATTCTGGGGAACCTTCCTTTACTTTTCCTTGTGTAAGTTCCCTGACATTTTCTGAATGGGACTGAACAAGAAAGTACTCTCACGGGATAATGGCTGATGAGACTAGATATATTACCTTTCCAAGGGGCCTTGGGGTTTTAAAACAATTATGCTCCTTCGTATCTATGGCGGGTGGCTCTCCCATGTTTCCGGGAACATACTTTGACCTTCAGTGTCTGCTTAATAGAACGCCACTCTTCTAATCTTCTACGAGCAGCAAGACACACTCTGTGCCTAGCACCATATGACTCACACATTTTATAATCTGAAAGCCTTTTCTCATGAACTTTGTTTGTAAGTAGACATCCTCAGCTTCATCAGGAGTGGCACTTACTTCTTGATCATAGTTTGATCCTTTGAGGATTGTGATGCACCGGTGTATCACAGCACAAGGGTTAAACTACCAACCCTGGACCTTGCTGCCTTTGGAGAGACTTCTGCTTTTACTGGCTGCTGATATTTTTGGTGATGAAGATGGGGAAACTTTTGAAGCTCGTTAGCTTAAAGGTTAAGAGGTTGGATGGTAAGTCTGTAATAAGGGGATAAGAAGAGGGCTGGCAGCCACCATTCAGATTTGATAGAGGATTTCCTTTGCCTTTTAAAGAGACTGAGTCAGATGTCAGGACACTGATATATGGTGACATGAAAGGGACAGCTGCAGATCTCTTGTGACTGTGTGCTGTGTGGACCAGGTGAAACTCATCAAATCAGTGAAAGGCCCCGTGGCAGATGGGGCAGGAATGATGTGGCTGCCATGCTTGAGTCCTAGTTACGATTCTAGTTAAGATGAGTTGGGAACACAGTCTGAGCCCGGGGAGGTCGTCCCCAGTACC